TCAACACTATTTTACCGGGTTTCCGATTTCAATTATTTATTTACAACGAGATGTTAATGAAAATTCCACAAATTTTAGTATAAATAGGTGGAGAGTTGAAATAAAATTGCCAAGTCTCTCCTTGGTCTTATTGGTCGGAATATTGAAATAATGAAGCTAGTAGGGTCTTACACACGAGATAAAACATGACAAATTCCAGTGTCAGGGGTTCTGCCATTTAACGTCTAATGTTGTCTGACAGAAGCTTAACGCATGCCAGCCATTCTCACAGGGATGCAAGAGGTGCATGGAGGAGGCTGGATTAGTCAACCATGTGTAATACCGGAAGCTGAGGATAAGGGATTATGAGGCATCGCGAAATTAGTAAGTGGCTTGGTCATAATTACGCTGAGCCGCGTTCTTCTTTTCCTCTTGCTCCTGCTCCTGCTCTATTTACTTTTTCATTTTTCCCCTCGTCGTGTCCGTTTGTCAGCAGCCAGAAGCGCCGGGAATAATTTTCGATGTTATATTCCCTCATCCTTGTCATTTATTCTTTTCTCTCTTTTTCAACACTTCGTTTTACGGAAGTCCGGGGAGTTTTTTTCATCCACCATTTTCTGCTCGTCGCCCAGGTTAGTGTGGCTCAAAGGACCCTCTGAGTAGACCGAGCTCTAATCCTCTTTCAGACCGCGGGCGAGAGGACTATCGTGTAAAAAGATCATTGAATTTTTTTTAGCATTCTTACGGAAATTGCGGACTGTAATCTCCTTCGCGTCTGTGTCAATTTACCCCTATTCAACGCTTGTCAATGATCATCGTTGCACTATTTTCTTTTTTGCATTTACTAGTAAAAGATAGCCATCAATTCAACTCTCCGTTAAATCAGAACCCCCAAATCTGGTGATTTTGTAAACCTATTTTTTTATTTGCCCAGTTCACTGTCATTGATAATTCCATGCAACAATGTTCAAGCGGCGTATTGAAATTTTTCGTGAAAAACTTTGAGCGAACGATTTATGCCTTTAGACATTACCATATTTTCTCTCTCGATGGATTTTCGTAAATGGCGGCGACAGGGTGCGGTTACATCAATATTGGCGTTGTCAACTCTGCACAGTGGTCAAATACAAAGTTCAAATAAATGATGTATACCCCGAACTGATACCGGATATTCGGTACATTTGCAAGAGATAAAAAAAAAATGCAAAAATCAATTTAAATTCCACCTTCACTCGTTAAATTTTTTATTTCCTGTTGGCCACTTATTTTTATTGCATCTCGTATTCCGCATGCACTCGCGAAAGGATAAAACATCCGACTGTATCGATCATCCTTGTCATTTTTAATCATATACGAGATGAGGGGTGGAGGGTGTGCGATTAGCCAACGCGAGGATGTCGTAATCGGTAAGAGAGAGAAAAGAGATAGAAAAGAGAGAGGGAAAAATCTTCCAGTGATGAGTCAGTGGAGAAAGTGAATTTTCCAAGGGTGAAGAATCGGAAATGGAAGGGCGAGCCCTCGGGCTGTGACCGAGAACCGTGTCGAATCCTATAGTTTTGTGATTTAGATTTTTCCATATAATCTATATAAAAAAGATAATGGAGCGGTGGGTAGATATAACAGCAATGGTGGAAGGGAATAGTATGAATTACGATAGGAGGGGGCTGTGTCTGTCCAGGGGTGGATCTTGAGACATTGCCTGGGGTCTTGGTGCTGGCGATGTGGGGTATAATCGAAAACAAGGGGAACAGTGGATTATGAATTACGACTTGAGGGACAGGGATAATTTTATTCCTTTGTAGTGTTTCGAGGAGTTTAAAGGATTTGGTTGTGAGATGCCGGATGATTAATTCGATATAGAGCATCCCTCGGCTGTATTCCCTGGGTTGAGCTGTCACTTTTCAAATGTCTTTACCACTGCTCGCATAAATGTTGTAGACAGTAGTAAAAAAAGAAAAGCATGGAGAAATAGCATTGCGGACGGAAAGGTTAAAAGCCGCAAGAATGGAATTCACAAAGAATAAAGTTTCCGCGAGCCGTGAAAACCAGAGAGTGAGTAAAGGAGAAAACTCGACTTCTGACCAATGTGAGAGAGAGCTTTAAAAGAGGTTGAAAATCCTGGTGGACGACAGCGGCCAGTGCATTAAAGGTTGCGGGTGGAGGGGGTGAGGGAGAAGTAAAGCTGAGGAGATGAAAAAGTGAAAAAGATAAAAAGAATGTGGAGCGGGATGGAGTAACGTCAGAATGCTGTGAATGAAAAAATAATATTTTCCCCCTCGAGTCCTCCGACGTCCAGCTGGACCAGAACAGAACGAATCAACTTTTCACCCCTCGAGAATTCCTTCTCCTCTTACCTTATGGGTTTTTGGTTTTATCAAAGATGCATTTCTCTGAATAAATGATCAAAGTACGGAGACACCCGGTGGAATCAGACTTAGATGCAAGGGCAATGCTTTTGGAAAAAAAAAAAATCATTTCTATGGAACTTTTTTTACAATGAATAATTTCCAAATTTTTTTGGGGTGGGTTATTTATTGAAATGCAAGAAATTGGAGAGATTGAAAGGTTTATATGTAAATGGAAGGTTGGTGGAGGTTTGGTCTGAGCTGAGGCATATATTCACTGAACCTCGAACGATGCAGAAACTGTGAATTTGAATGAATTCGATTCGTTGTTTATAGAATTGGATTGGTGAGTGTGTGCAACACGTTGTGGGCTCCTCGCTTCTGTCTCTTGTCTCTTGAAAATGAAGCGTTTATGTCAGCACTGCTAAACTCAACTCCAGGAATACAATTATTAGTGAGTGCGGTGGGGGCCGTTGTGAGTGAGTATAGAGAGATCTCGTCTTTGTACACTTCCCTTTTTATGTTTGGATTAGTGGAGATTGAAACGAGCTGTACGTGTGACACAACTCACTGGTGGACCAAAGGCTCTCTAAAACGCTCCGACCAAGATTGCAATCAGGACTGGAGTGTCCTCGTGGATTCACGCTCAAGGCCTTTGGCCACATATGCCATGGTACGGGGAATTTCAATCAATTTTATTACAGCAACATGGACACTCCAGGCATGTCGAGTTCATGTCAATCCTCCAAATTTTTATTCCATTATTTCATCGACAAATCGCCAATAATCCAGGCATTTGGACATTTGAGAGTAACAGACGATTAATGGAATTCGTTGAAGGATAAAGAGTAAAGTTGAGTTGGAAGATGGGAAAATAGGAAAATGGAAAAATTGAAAAACACAAAGAGTAATGTGATTTTCAGGATTGCTCTCAAGTGTCACTGAAACCCTTGAATACCCGGTGCTATTCACTCATCAAAAATCCGGGGAACGTCGAGTGGTGCTTTCTGTTTTGACTCAACGCAGTTTACGATTGAAAGTACCATCGTTTCGAGGACGGGCTATTTGAAGGGAATTCGTGAACAGGAATAACGACACGTCTAATTGAGTGTGAGTATCTGGTTCGTACCACGTGAATGGGATAGCTATGTTGTATCAAAATAAACTCAAGAGTGGTTATCCTCCAAACAGAAGGAGAAGCTGCTCACCTATGCAGACTAATCTCCTTAATTCGCATTTAACTCTTCATATATTTTTTTCCGAAAACCACATTAGCTTTTTCAGCGAGGAGAAGAAATATCACTTTGGCTTCATTTTTTTAAATCCAACCCTCGTCCTCTTTTTATTATTATTGCCTATTTTATTCAACTTTTACAACTTCTCTAGCACTCAACCGCTCGTAATCACCTGTGGCCTTCGTAATTTTTAATTACCTCACTCCACGAGCAAACAAGCATCGTGAACAATGCCTCTCTTCTTCACTAACCATATCTCATGGTCTGTGGGCTTTTTTTAAGCCCGTCTTTTGCCGGCTTTTATGCTAGTTTGTTTTTCTATTTTTCCACATTTTTTTACCCGTGTCTTTCAGGAGTGAACGCCCCAATTCTTTTCACGTTTCCACATTATGAATCTGAATGGAATTGGGTGACTCATATCTATCAACATGTGCTCCATATTTTCAATCTATAAATAATAGAAATGAATATCCATAGTCATTTCTTCGGAATAATAAGTAGGAATTTTGTTATCCTAAAAATAGGTGAAAAAATGGAAAATTTCACTGGAATTCTCAGGGGGTTGCTCAAGTCTGAAAATAAATGGTTGGGTGGATTTTTGGGACGACTGAAGCCTAAATAAAGGGTAGAAGCAACTCATTTGCAAAGTACCAATAGTGGCATCCCCAAGACGAGCTCCCTCGACACTTGACTTCCTCTGACGGCATCCTCCTCCACCCTCGGGTGACGACAACCAACTTCGTATCAAAAGATAAATTTATACAAGCCCGAGCCCGAACTGCACATGCACACGTGTGCACTAGACTGTATTTTGTAAACATACATTCCACCTACGGGCGATGGTGTGTCGCTGTAAATCCCGAAACATTAATATTAATGTGTCTTCGGCATGTACCTGGTGTACAGTGTGTTGGAAAGCACGATCTCAGTTTTGGTGGATGTGCGGGGAGGGGGTGCAAAGTGCATGCTCAACCACTTCCTCCCACACCCCCACGAGACTCTGTTTCACTGTTCACCCCACCTATCCCCCCTTTTCACTCGAGAATATTTCGTTATTCCGAGAAAACATCAAGAGTGAATTCTTATGCTTATTCCTACTCCCTACGAGGGATATTTCATTTTTATTCCGAGTGCAACTCTGACTTTTCCTCATGGCAAATTACTTCCTTTGTATTGTCGTCCTATTAATATCCCCATGAAAATTTTCTATTATTCATTTATAATTTATTTATAATAAAGAAGGTGAAAAAAAGATAGAACTGATAGGTTGACATTTTTGGAGAAGGTAGCAATTGGAAATAATGGGAAATGCCACGTTTGCCGCCAATAAGAAAATATTAGGGGGGGGGAGGCGATTGCCGCGTGGGGGTCGTGCGAATTGTGAAGAGAGGGGAGGGGTGGACCGTGGCACCGCTAGAGCCTTCCAGTCCGTCGTGATCTACCGAGTCGTTACCACGCGTCGGCGCCTTGTCCGTTTTCTTTACACTTAATCCACATCAAAAACAAAGAGACTCTCTGCCACACATTGTTTTTAACGATTTATATCATATTGTCAGAGTATTTACGAGTGCGTGAGTGTTGAAAAATTTATTGGAGTAATAACTAGTGGTTTAAAGAGTATTCGGAGAGTGTAATGGTGATTTGAAAATCGTAAACATTGGATGATTGGAGGAAGAGCGGGAATAAAGAGAGTTGTCGCAGGCTTCAAGGCCGGTTCGGCGCCACAAAGCCGCAAGGTAGCGCAGTCACTCGTTCGACGTCGCGTCGAGTGGTTCGTGTTTTGTTTTGACGTTGGCTACATAAATTTCAAAATAGTGAATTCCGGGAATTGAACAAAGGGTAGAAAAATCATTGATACCGAATAGCTTCAGTGAAGTTCAGTGTGAATTTTAAGTGCGTTGGTAATTATTATTTTTCGTTGACTGTGACATTTATTGAGTGTTATAATGTGCTCGAAGCTGTCACTTGTGGCAGTCGCCGTGGTGGTGGTGTTTGCTGTCGTCTGGAATGCTGAGGCTCAGTCAAAATCGACGGTGCTGGACAGGATGCAGGAGGACACGGATTTATCAGAGGTGAGTCCATAATGAATTACTAGTCGTTGAGCGTTTATGCAACCGTTGAGATGACGGCTTACATTGGCGAAATTCAAGTGTGAGCGTTCAAGGTTGACTAGCTACATAGGTATAACAGGCTTTCGAGTTTAGCTGGCGTGTCCTTGGGCTTGAAACCGCGTTCTGTCCTTCGGATTCATTGATTTCTCGGGGTTTCGCTCGGTGCATCATCTGGGGGGATATTATTATCATCATCGAGTCCCGGAGATTTTGCTAGTCAAATTCGTTGACCAGTCGGACGCATCCAATGGTCCACCTTTTTCCGGGCTATTTCTTTCTTCATGTATGCATTAAAATCCTTCCATTTTTAAATTAAGAGAGAATCATTCGTTTCGAAAGTGAAGATGAGCATGAGGATATCGAAGATTTAAAATTCTTCCATCGACGAACCAGGGAAAATTTTGGGAGATATCAGAATTCTCAATTTCATTAATGATTCATCATCTTCATGCCGAGATTATTTCTATTCTTGAATTTTCCGGACATCTGATTTCAGGAAACATTTGATTGAGATTCTCGGCATTTTGAATCTTGGAAATGATGAAATCTGATTAAGTCTCAATTTTACTTCCGTTACTCAGAAATGTAGGAATACTGAAATCTCATCCATTTGCTTATCTTTCATGGAGAAAATACCAAATGAAGAGTTTTCCATCGGAAATTCACCTAGATATGACGGATCTGGACATTCTGTAAAATCACTACATAAATTGACATTGCTTATTGATTTTCTTGTCAAATCCGTACACTCGATTTAAAAAGCATCGTAGCATAAAATTCAAACATTGAAAGTATAATATCCTTAGTTTACTGTTGTCATTATCTAGGAATTGTCTTGTTGTCGGTGGGTAATTGGTAATTAAGTTTATTGTCAATGGCTTTTAATAGATTCTTGAAGGTATAAAAAACCTTTGTAGTTCGTTGATCGCGTTAGGGTTTTATTGAGGCGTAAAAACGTCACATAACTCTGCGAATTTTTATTTCCTCGATTACTCCATTACAATTAACTTTATTTCACGGGATTGATGAGTCATTGGTACGTGAGGGGCGTCGGTCTTTTTAATGAATTGAGGCAGGTTGTTGATCTTGAGAATAACAATTTGGTGATGAGGTTTGGTCCTGGGTGTTGGTGGAGGTAAAAACATCTGCGATTTTTCATCATTTGCGTCTCACAGGTGTCTCTTGCTACCAGATGTTATCTAGCCCAACATTATAGAATGATATTTTTGTCATTCCAGTCAATGCTCGAAAACGTTAAAATCCCATTAGGGATAATTGGAATTTTTCAATTATCCCATTAAGGGGATAATTGGAATTTTTTCAATTATCCCATTAAGGGCATAATTGAAATTTTTAATTTTAATTGATCGATTTTTCGTTGGGAATTCTGTAAACAACAATACAGTAACAGTACAGCTCGTACCATTCATTAATCTCGAATCAATGATGTGTACGTAGCGGGTGACTCTTGCATGTCGCATGACTCAAACGTGCGATTTTCTCGCCGACAAAAACGTTGCGCTCGGTACCTCCCGCAACTTCCGGTACAGCACCAGTTATGCAGACTGTGTGTTTGATATACAATAAATTCAGAGCTGGTGTATACGATGCGATGTGATGAAAAAAAAAAATCCATCGCAGACTACAGGCCGCCCTCCCTTTATTCACAATTTTTTTTTCACCCCGCGCAATTGTTTCAGAGTAGCTTTTTTTTCTTTCCGTTGGTGTTTCATTTTATTTCATTCGTATCGCGGTGTGGATCTCGCTGGGAGAATAACCCCGGAGACGAACCGTATGTCGACTGCGCAAAGTGATTATTTTTTGCCGAGAGGAATCCACTGTTGTATTACCACCAGGAGATATTATTTTTACTCCAGGGTGACCTCCCAATTGTCGAGTCAAGGGCGAGAGAATTCTTGACCGCCCATTTTCTCACATTTTTATATCTACTCTTTTTTGTTTGCTTCTCGATTTTTTTCTGGCAAATTAGTATCAGAGGTTCCCTCAAACTTTCTCCCACAGGTTGAAAAAAAAAAGTCTAGAGATCCCGCATGGTCGAGTTTCATTGGAATTATGATTCCTCTCGTGTATAGGCACCCACATATTTTTTTTAATACATATCCTCAGTTCATCTTTATTCCTCCTCGGACAGATATTTTCCACTTCCCACATTCTTGTACTTGAGACTATATTTTTCCGCTTCCTACGTTACACTTTGTACTTATATACGGGTGTTACGTAGAGGAGACACTATTCAGGGGCTAATCCACCCGAGATTCCATTACGTATTGGCTACAACTTCACAACTTTTTGAATTTTTTATAAAAATTTATCCAAGGGAATCTGGATTCTAATGCGGACAATTCACATTTTTTTTCCTGTGTAGCGACACGTTTAAACTCTTAATGACTCATTCTCGGTTTATCATATTTAATTGGGAGTAAAAGTGATGAAGAGTTGTGGGTTGAGAGTGATCTAACGAGAGCCAGGGGGAAAGAACAACAAATTATTTGAAAACGTAATTCAGGCCAATCAACGGGTTCGGGAGCAATTGACTCCCATGACGTAGTCGAACGATACTAATTGGTTAATTGAAGCTTGTCGGGGACGAATTTTCTTCCTGAATTCCTCTTGTTATATTTTTTTTTTCTTTTATCTGAGTTTTCCTCAGAGATTGCAGTCTGAGCGGGTGGGACATTGTTCAATCTGAAAAGGGAATCCACCAGGGAATTAAGACTCTCATCAAAGTAAAAATCGTTAGGAATCAATAGTCCATGTGACTTTTCGATTGCACATAAATCGATCTGGCCTTCACTAATTTATTCTATTCGTACCTGTCACTCTTCTCTCTTCACTCTCCCGTTGATTCCCGCGTCGCAGACAAAAGGTGTACGCAGCGACCGGATGTGTCACGCATTTTAGAAAATCGATAGTCACTCGACCAAACAATTCGTCCAATCGATTTGCGGTGAATGGCAGCTGTCATGCCACTGGATATAATGCAATCTGCGGGATATTGTCCTACGTGACACTTGAGGGCTCGAGCATCGACTCGCCATATCTAGTCTCCTCTTCTCCTCTTCTCCTCTTATATGGAAAAAAAAGAGAGACAATGTAAGAAGGTTGATATGGTGGCCATGAGAATTACCGGATGTGGGACCTCCCAGAGAGATGCATCATCAATTAAATTCAGTAGCCCCCGTTGTTAAAAAAAAAAAAACGAAACAATGAAATTCCGGCAACAGTTGGCTAGAAATTTCGAGGAGAGTGACATTAAATTCACTGGTGAGCCCAAATGGATACTCTGGAAATTCCCCTCTAGGCTGCATCAACTGAACACACGACATGAGTAATCGAGCGAGTAGCATTTGCATAAGTCTCGTCCTAATGTATTTACCTATAGTGCATTCAGCCTCTGATACGATATTGGGACTCACTGCACATCCGTTATTTGCGATAAAAATGTTTATGATTGCATCCAGTATTCGATATACGTCGAACGTGGTTGAACGTGGTCGGTCTGGCAAAGCAGATGTGCACAAAAGCGTTAAATTTAATTTGCCTGTTGCAAAAAACAATGTTGTGGGATAACGGTATCGATATGTTATTAGAAATGTAATCTCTCGGGGATTGCGATATGTTTTGATATCAAATATATCATAGAATAATGAAGACCGTGGTTTTGTTGGTTGTTTTCGAATGTAATTGCGATTCGTAACGGCACATTGTTCTCAAACCACTTGCAGCAGATCCCCCTTGGCATTCCATTCCTCTGACTAATTATCTTCACTTGGGTTTTCTCAGAACTAGTCCATCACATATTGGAGGAAAATAGTATCAATTGTGATGATTGAGTGATGTAATAAAATATTGGTGAATAAAATTCTCGCAGCTGGCTGTGGCACTTTGAATGAAAATTCAACCGACTGTAGACAAGAATATTGTGGATCGCGTTGATGAGCAATTTCGCAGTGTCGCATCAAGAGACACTTGAAGAATCGTGATCATGTAGCAATCAGTACGGGTAATTACCCCTGTTTATGGCCGTACGATAGAGGGATAGTGGTTAGTCTCTACAAAGCCCATGGGCTATCGCATCGGCTTACAACCGGAAATCGATAGTCTCGGTAGATCTCGAGGAATTGCATTCAGGATTATGTGCGTGCGCGTAAAGATCCAATCCCAGTTGGCATGGGTATCAATTTTATCGACTGGAATACAACAGCAGTTTAAGACGGTCGAGTTGATTTCATCTCCCAGTCGTTGCGCAATCCCCTGAACTCCCTTAAGTGGCTTAATTTTTTTTATTCCATCTAGTATTTCCGGGAATTGTCTCTTATTAGGTTCACAGAAGAAGAGAGGATACTCATACAAATCATTCCATTCGTTCAATATTGATGATTTTATTTGGTGATTATGTCACCTCAATTGCAGCCCAATGACACTCGTCATTACACACGTGTCGCAATATTCTTGGCTATTGGCAGTGTCAATTTTCTGCCGGAGACGGGTGTGGATTCATTCACTCTCAGTTTTCAAAAGAACGGGAAGTGTTTTCTCAATTTCCGAGTGGTTTTCATTCACTTGACCGACTATTTCGAATATTACTGTTTCAGTCAGCACTGTTTCTTGTCAGGGAAAATGTTCACCTGCATATGGCCAATTACGACAGTGAATTCAGTTCACGTTGACTCCATTGGAAGATGGAATTCCATTTTCTTTTTTTTTTTTTTCATCTCAATTTGGGGTGGAGGTCACGTGCAGTGCTTGCGACCTCTTTTGGTATTGATTGTTTTGCAGTGGGGCACGTGGTCCAGGAGAAAAGAAGATACAGGGATATTGAAAGGAGACAATAATTTAATGTAGTTAGAAATGGTACTGGTCCTGGTGTAGGTTTGAGAGACTTTATGGTCCGGAGTTTGGCTCCGCCATGAGAGGGATCATTCGCATCGTCAAAATAA